TTGTTGTTTTCTTAAATTTGATGGTTGATGGCGCATAATATTCCGTGTTCTGGATCATTTTGATTATATTTTCTTGATAGAATGACTTATCCATAACGACTATATAGCTCCTCCTTTATCTGCTCGTTTGATAATTATGCTTTGATTATTTTTCGGATTATTGAGAGCTTTCAATTTACCTATATTTAGATTTTTAATGGTGGGTTTTGGTTGGATTTTATGAGTTGCTTATAGTTGTTATGAATTTATCTAATTGTACACCTTTTCCTGATTTTGGTGTAAAAGTAGATTTGTTTCGAGTCAGGCTTTCGGGTTCTGGAGGCGAGAAGAACAATTATAATTCAAGTCGTTTAAAGTGCTTCTGTATATAAAATATAAGTCCCCATCATGGTAACGCAAATATTAACCGTCGCTGTAAAATGACATTAAATTTTGCATTGCAGTTGGTGTACATATTATGTCGATTTTATTGAACAAAAAAGTTAGCATTAAGCATTTACAATCAAGAACTAAAGATTACGAACTAATTAAAACTTGAAATGCTTCCATATGCATATACAATAGCTACAGCGACAACTGAACCTTTACTTCTCATGTGTTTTGATTTGGAATTCAGAAGCTCTCGGCTACTGGGTAGAGGATAATCTCAGGACCAAAGCCACTTACAGATTGACTTACCCACGGTAACTGCACTACAATAATTGGTTATCAATGTGAACATGATCGCCCGAAAGAAGTTTTTGAATATTCCTAGAATTGATCGATTCACGCATCATTCACACGGAGAAGCTTTATAAATGTTTAAATCCAATTCCATAGTTGACTGGGCGGCAATTTCCTTTGATCTTGTTGAATTGTATGGTATGCTAGACTTGAGTGGTTACGAGACACTTTAGACTTTATAATGTTTTGTTTTTATAAGAGAAATTTAGACTTTATAATGTATGTTTATAAGAGAATTCTAGATTTTATATTTAGTTATTATACGAGAATTTTAGATTTTATAATTTTTTGTTATTAAACGAGAATTCTAGACATCATAATGTATGTTTATAAGGGAATTCTAGACTCTATAATGCATTGTTATTATACGAGCATTCTAGACTTCTAAATGTATGTCTATGCGAGAATTCTAGACGTCATAATAATGTTATGTTTTTCAGGCCATTCTAGATTTTGTATTGTATGTTTATAAGGGAATCTAGATTTTAGTAATGTATGTTTATAAGGACATTCTAGACTTTAGCAATGTATGTTTATAAGCGCATTGTATACTATAGAAATGTATGTTTAGAAGGGCTTTCTAGACTCTAGTAATATATATATGTGTATAAGGGCTATATAAACATACAGTAAACTGTAGACTATAGTAATGTATATATGTTTAGAAGGGCATTCTAGACTTCAGTAATGTACGTTTAGAAGGGCATTCTAGACTATAGTAATGCATGCTTAGAAGGGCATTCTAGACTTCATTAAATATGTTAATAAGGGCATTAATGCACGCAAAGGCATACAGCTGATTGGAACGGTGGTTTTGGATCTTCGATTGCCCTAAAGGACATAAATCGACATGACACGTGGTAATGACCAAGAGCTAAGTCACCATCGACGCTGATGAAATATTTTTACTCGTGTCAACTTTGAATTATTGACAACATCGAATATTCTCCCTTTGACTTTAATGTTAATTCTCGTTTCTTTACGCATCTCTAACATTTCCGAAGTGTTCGTCGGATTGAACGCCCTCCACCACAGACAGAGCAACATACACATGTATATGTGGGAAGAGAGAAAAAAAATTGTATGTGTATGTGAGAGAGAGAAAGGGGGATGAGGAATTACAAAAGGGAAAGTAATTGGTGGTCTGATTCCGCTTATATTGGCTGATTCATATGGAGAGACCATTAATTGCTTCCCCCGTAGTTTCCCTATTTCTAGCAATTCACACTTTACCGCTTTCCCTGCCTTTTGCATTTCAATTATTCTTGACTTTTGGGTCTAGAATCGAGGTGCTTGGATTATCCCATTATCTGTAAGGTGTTGGTAATTATTCATGGTTTTGATGGGGAAGGTCAGGATGTAAACAGATAAAATTAAGGTGATCGCCTACAAGAATGGAGTCACTCCCATAAGATTCCTTTCACCAGACCTAGTAACAGATCTAAACGTTCAACCCTCTTCAATATTTTATTCAGAAGATTATGACATGTTGGACTCCTTCAGATTAATCATTTTAAGATCATAGGAATATTCAAAAAATGTTAGAGCCAAGAAATGGCATGGATAATTATCTAATTACATTTCATTTCTGAGAAATGTATTTAGTGAAATAGCAAACTGCAGCTTGATAAACTTATATATAGGAGGGTTCGGTGAAAAATTGTAATTCTGAAAAGTATAGAACACTTGTGTTGAAACAAACTTTTGCTACCAACGAGTACAATTATTGAATGAACCATGGACATAAGAACTGCAACTGTAGTGTTATTACTGTCTTCGTACCAGATCATCTTGTGAACCTGCCCATTGAAATTACCAGAAATAGACAAAACTAGCAACTGAAAGAACTAACCCTAATGCAGATACATGCCGACATGGTCTCCACTTTAGGGAATGATACCCCTTCCTTTTCCACAGTAAAGAGGTGGGCTGCGGAATTTAAACCTGGCGGATGGAGCCTTGACGACCATCAACAATAACCATTCAAAAAACACTATCCGGGGAATGACATTGTGATGGCTGATCGACGTTTGAACACTCGACATAATGCCAGTGTTATGGGCATCTCTCGTGAGGGAGTTGAGCAAATTATGGCCAACGAGTTAAGAATAACAACAGTTTCTGCAAGATGGGTGCCAAAACTCTTGACAGCGGATCAGAAACGTGTTAGATCCCCAACGCCCTGTGACAATCTGCGCCGTTTTGAAACAGATCCTGATAATTTTTGGGACCAGACTTGTAACCATGGATGAGACCTATTTCTAAAAATTAAAATGGAACTAGCCGGTCATCATTTTCCTAGTAATGATGACGTCATGTCAGCTGTGAACAACTCTTTTAGGGAGGCTGACAAAATGTCTTTCTGACCGGCATTCAATGCATGGACTGTGTAAACATAATATGTGTACTAACAAAATCACAAATGATAATATTTTCCCTTTTGTCAAAATAGCAAATAATTGCCTTAAAGATACATTAGTTAAGAGTTTAATAAAGAGTTGGTCATTCTTGCTATAATAATTCAAAAATAGATGATAAAAAAGAAAATATTGAAAATTTCATTCAAATTACTTCATTCTCAGCCAAGTTATCATTGTTTGTAGTTTTGGGAAGATGTGTGCACTGTGGTAACAAGGGCACTGGTATAATCGGGACTCGGCCTCGCTTTCCCATTTTTAAATTAAATTTTTAAATGGCCAACCGTTTTAATCTAGTTAAAATCTCGAATATCCGATGACATCGAGAGTCGATGATGGTCTTGCTTTGTTAATAAATGTCTAATGAATAGTTTAGATAACATTTCAAGCCAAAAGAAAGACCTGCAATAGGCATAGTGTATGTTAACAAATTTGTAGCCAATGGAGTAAGACTTTGGCTCGCTAAACTGGAGATCCCGGGTGCGATTCCGGTGTTGGCCGACACAGTTCATGAGGATTTTGTAGTGTGGCCCCCTACCCACCCGTCAGTGGTGCAGGACAGAGGGTCTGGAAATGGACACCGTATAGTCGTGCACGTAACAGGTCCCCTGGCAGTTAGAATTTGATATAATATATGAGTAGGCTGTGGCGCCGCTGCTCAGGCGAAATTTCCTCCATAGCAAATTGTATGGCGTATGCCCATCTTCATTAGCCCAGTCGGAGCAGAACAGTATGGGACGTTAAACCCCATTTCATTTCAGTTAATTGTTTTATTATATTAACCCTAACATACCACCCCCAAAATACTGCCGAGTGGAAACATAATGCGCGCAGGTCACGGAATTCCAAAATAACATGATTAAGCCTTGCTAAAAACAATTTCCGAAATGCCGTGATTAAACCTTAAAAAATTGCCATAAATTTGCTTCGATTGGTCATTTCAAAAACAATCAAATAAAAAAAATCTAAGAAATTGTATGGAACCAAATTATGTGTAAAAAACAATTTCCGATATGACATGATTCAGCATGTATAGATATATGTGTACCCACATCATGGTTATTCGATTAATAATAAATCTTAGCTCATCAGAAAGCCATAAACATGATACAAGCACAATAATGGATTACGTAAACTAATGATCAGCACATATAACAATATTACACTATCCTTTACTCATTCCTTACACTAATGCTATCTTTCTAGTTCTATTGAAATTAATTCCCATGTGGCATTCCAATAGACACCGCCAGATCCACACAGAGCCATTTAATATGCTAATAGAAATTATAACTCAGGAATTCCCTTATCGGGAAACTACACGGTGTCTCGTTCACTTGCTCGCGTGCCAACTACTTTATATCGTTATTTTTAAAATGGTTCCGTTACTATGGTAATATCTTCACCGACACCGACATGGCGGAAAGGGGTTTGGAAAATTAGTCCTGACGACAACAGTAAGAAAGCTACGGAATGGAATCGGGAGAATAAAACGATCGAACATGTTGTTGAATCTGTGTTGCGTGGATTGTATTCCGTATTATATAATACTTCACGGCTACCTGCCGCATGTCTTCTCCAGCGCTAGTCAATAGAATGTTCTAGCGGTACCAGAGAGCACGCCGACCCGTCACACATATAACTGTATCACGGCATTTAATCACTTTGTTTACATTATTCAACCTGTCCAAGACTATCAGGATAACTTGGAAACGGGAGAACGATTTTATGTTATTTAAATTGATACAAGAGGAGGAATTTGTGTAGGATTTTTTTCTGACGCCATGGAAATATTTACATCGTCTCCCATGATACAAGAGGTGAATTGTGATCAGGCTTCATGAATCGTAGAGGAGTATGGTCTGGTTAAAACGTTCGACATCATGAGATTTAAGGGGCTTGTTGTTGCTGCGATGAAGGGACTGAGTGAACCCGGACAACACGTGCAATGATATTTCCCGATAATAAGTTTATCATGAGCGAAATTATTCGGGAAACAAAGGCAGACAAACATGGTATACTGCTCCAGGACGAGGTGGGGAATACCCCAAGACGAGAGGGGAGAAAACTGGCTGGGGGTTGTGCGAGGTTACTTTTGAATGTTGGAGGGGTAAGACATGAAACGCATGTGTCGACCCTCCGTAATGCACCTAATACTCGACTCGCTAGATTGGCTGAAAATCACCTGGAATCCGGATGTAAAACTGAGGAGTATTTTTTTGATCGACATCCAGCTGTTTTCAATTCTGTTATTGATTATTACCGAACAGGTGAGCCTCTTTGATCTTATCTTATTTAAATTTTGAAAAATCTAAAATTATCCCCAAATCTAACTCCAATTAAAGTGGCAGTTGTGATGTAAATATATTCGCATATTCGTTCTTATTTACAATGACAACAACCCCTTGGTTAATGGTTAATCATGACAAAATAATCAAAACAGAACAACTGTACACCAAAGCACATGCATTACAATTGGGGCAAGTATATATATATTTAGTTTGATCAAAACAATTGTTACGGGTTCACAGGCACACACTCGGTGGAACAATTTTGACGACACTTAGTACAACCACACAATTTGGATGTAAAGATTAGTACATGCACATTTGGGGGGACTGAACAATAGGCAGACACACGGTCTGTGTGGAACAATTAGTTCATACACACTGCTTGGGTGGAACAACTGGTACAGATACGCACCTTGGACGGAACAGTTAGTACACACGTTCAATTTGGATGGAACAATTAATACATGCACACAATAAGTAAAGATTAGTACAAATACAAACTTTGTCGGAACAATTAGTACAGATAACAGCAAGGGTGGAACAATTAGTACAGATACACAGCTTGGATGGAACAATTAGTACATACATCCTAGACGGAACAATTAGTACAGATACACACTCTAGACGGAACAATTAGTACAGGCGCACAGTTTTGACGGAACAATTAGTACTATTACACAATTTGAATGCATCAAGTAATACATACACAGGTTTTACGGAACAATTAGTAGATACACAGCTTTGACGGAACAATTAGTTCACAATACTTTGACGGAACAACTAGTATAGACACGTTGGACGGAACAATTAGTACATGTACACAGTTTGTACGGAACAATATGCACAGACACAGATTGGTACAGCTAGAAACTAAATACCCCACCTTGGTTATGGTATACGGTTTTACTTATTTCACATAATACCCCGCCTTATACAGTTTGTATAGCCCCATATCGTTCCGTGGACGGTTCGTTTGTTACCGGAATCATCCGTGTATGACCGCAACTTGGCGAAGCTTGGTTTGAATTCTTTTTGTTTTGAAATATATTGCTAATGGGATATTACCGAATAAAACTGGGAAATGGTTTGCTGTTTGAATATCAAACGATATGTTAGTATTTACTTGACTGTCGATAAGATGTATGTATTCGTGTATTTATAATAATATAACGTTTTACTTATTACATGTACATTTTGGATATTTATTGTTATAGGAAATGAGTACACAAATATACATATCATTAATTAGCCGTAAGGCTAGCTTTCCATGTACGCGTTTCCGCGGGCGAAAGAGTCGGCCTAAGGCAAATATAATGGGACGTTCTCCATGTAAGCGATGTGCGACCTTTTCGCTGGCGTCTTTTCTCGCGTGAAGTGTGCGCATGCGGATGTTTACGTTCTGTCGAACAAGTACAGGTTCTCTTCCACTAAGTCAATCAACTGTTCTTGTTGTTGGAAATTCAGCTTGCAAATGGTAGATTTTTTGGACATGGTGTTATTATAAAAAGGCGGCGACGGAGCGTTAACAATGCCAGCCTCCATGCTGTAAAGAGAAATCCTCAGCTATGAAGTCATCTACAAGGGATTCCTTCAACATATTACACATAAATTATGGATTTTTTTCTTGAAATGAAAAATAAGCACACAAATATACAAACAAATATACAGTCATCTACAAGGGCTTCCTCCAACATATTACACATAAATTATGGATTTTTTCTTGAAATGAAAAATAAGCACACACATATATATTTCATTATTCGATATTAGCCGCTATACAAGCAACTGATATGTCGATATGATATATTTATTTCTGTATAATGACACACAGTTTTACTTATTATACATTCATTTTGTGGGTTGTATTTTTTCTTGAAATAGCAAATGAGTATACTTATGTACATACATATATATTTTCCGTATTCGATATGTCGGATAAAAACTAGGATACCAATAACTGCTATAACCGACATATTATTGTACATTGTAGATAAACAATACATTATACTTTATTCGATTGTGGCCAATCAAAACTGGTATACTATAAGCCGATAAATTAGCCATTTATTTGTTTGAAATAACAAATGCGTGCCTATTTGTACATAAAACATATATGATACTTTATTCGATTGTGGCCTATCAAAACTGACATAGTATTAGCCGATATATTAGCATTGTTTTGTTTGAAATAAGAAATGCGTACAGATAAATATATATTATACTTTATTCGATTCTGACCGATCCAAACTGGTATACTATAAGCCGATATATTGCATTTATTTGTTTGAAATAAGAAATGCGTACATAGAATATATATTATACTTTATTCGGTGTAGCCGATCAAACTGGTATACTATATGCTGATATTATTAGCATGTATTTGTGCACATAAAAATATTATACGTTATTCGATTGTGGCCGATCAAAACTGGTATACTATAAGCCAATATATTAGCATTTATTTGTGTGGAATAACAAATACGTTCCTATGTGTACATAAAACAGATATTATACTTTATTAGAATATGGCCTATGAAAACTAGATACGATTAGCCGAGATGTTAGAATTTTTATTGTTTGATGTAAGAAATGAGTACATAGAAAATATAATATTATAGATGTGGCCGACCCAAACTGGGATACCATTAGCCGATATATTAGCATTTATTTAACCATTGATATTATGTATGTATTTATATTCGATATCTATATGGGTGATAATTATCCTATCTCCGGGTTCATTTCAGTGTTGAATTTTTAATATCGAATTATTACACCGGCTTGATCTTACAAAATATTACTCAGATATAGATTTTGTAATTAAAGAAAAACAGGTATGGATAGATCGACAAATAACATGGAATATAAAATATAAAGGTATTTTGATCGATATTGCCCTGTCCCTTTGTTTATAATTAATTTGACATAGCGACAGCACGTGTCATGATGTAAATGCCACAATGTCAAACACGCCAGTGGACATTTTACATATCCACAACGTTTGAATAAAGATGGCAAAAGGTTGGCTGTGCACGTGACATGCATAGACTTCCTGCAACACTTAGAAGTTAGACTGGAAATGATCTAGGTAAATGAATAAAACTATTTTGTTTACTTATGATAAGGGAAGTGGTGTTCTGAAAGCAATAGGTTACTTTATAGTCAACAGAGCAATAATATTTTATGAGTTATGTTTACCTCTGATAGGGGGAATGGCAATAGGTGTTCTAAAAAAACATATGTATTTCACACAGAACCCCAATCTGAACAACAATCAGATCGCTATACTTATAAAGTTTATAGTAATATTTCATATGTTATGTTTACGTCTCATAAGGGAAGTGGTAACAGGTGTTCTAAAAGGGATATATAGGCCACCACCCCGTCGCTATACTTATAGTTCATGAAGCTTTATAATAATAAGTTGCACGTGTATAAATGAAATGAAATTAAATGGGGTTTAACGTCTTCCTGTTTGAGCCGACTGGGTTAATAAAGCCAGACATACGCCATACAGTGTGTATCAGGGACATTTTGCCCGGACAGCGGCGCCCAGGGCTTACTCTTATATCGAATTCCAACTGTCAAGGTATCTTTTACGTTCATGTCAATGTGTGCACACGATCTCGGGTTTTCGTACCATCCTAACTACGTTGTCCCTTGCCGGAACCTCTGTCTGGCACTACGGAAAATCTCAATGGACTGATCCACCACGGCTTCCCTTATACAGGTAGACAGTTACCTGTATTGCGTGGTTTATTACTTATAGTCAATATGACATTTCATACAGGTAGACTGTGTATTACCCCTATTTGTTAATGGTTTTATTGATCGATTCACTAATTACTCGCTGTTTGTTTTAAGCCGCTGTCTGTCTTTTTATTGGAATGATGAAATGCAATAATCGAATTCCAACTACCGAAGTCTGTCCCATCAAATAGATATTTTGGTAAATATGCAAGATCTAATTAAAATTAGTTCCTTGCGATTTAAATATTTATCTGAAAATCTACTCCTAGAAGTCTGATTTCTGCCGTTTTTCATATAAAAAAAATATATCCATTGCCGAAAACAAGACTTGCTTAATTGGATTGTTGTTCAAGGGGTGTAGACATTCGAGTGATCGTTAGTGCGTTTTAGATCATCGGGTCTGCCATTGAGTTGGATCAAGTCTGCCCAACCTCGTGCGTTTTTTCCGGATCCTCCGTGATCCCCCTCCCCACTGCTAAAGCGTCTTTGAGTCCCGAAATGACTTGGATTGTGTCTACTGGACGTTAAACCCCGTTTCTGCCCCCCCCCCCTCTCTCTCTCTCTCTCTCTCTGTAAATCTGGAAATATCGATACTGCTCTTTTTGAAAGAGACGGTCGCCACTTTTATTGTGCCTTTTGTATTAAGATCGGTGCAATAAAATCGACCCACAGTACCGTTGTATTTAGTTCTTACGACTGTTTATCAAGAGCACAGAATATCTGAATAGTTCTAGTTTTCGGTTCAGAAGTTTACGTAATATAAGTTGATTCTATTCTGATATATTCTGATATATTCTGTTTATGTCATATGATTCTCTTTCTACGCCTACGGGCGAATGTGTTCACATCGGATACAAATATGATGTTATCGATCTGTTGTCATTCATCCATATTTAACATTAGTTGTATTGTTCATCACATGTATAGCAATACCATCAAATACAATACATATTTACAACATGGCTGTGACATCAGATATAATGCATGTTTAACACAAGTTGTATTACTCATCACGGTAGGACGTTAAACCCCATTTCATTTCATTTGTATTACTCATCACATATATAGCTAAACCTTAAGTTATAACATTTAACACATGCAATAGCTATACCATCAGATATATATAATACATATTCAACACATGTCTATGACAAAAAATACAATAACCCACGTGTATATAGCTATATACCACCCGACACAATATATCGGCCATCACATGTTTAGCTGTA